CATCTGTTGATCTTCTTTGGAGAAATGTCTGTTCAGGTCTTTTGCCCATTTTTCAATTGGGTTGTGAGTTTTTTTGTTGTTGAGATGCATGAGTTCTTTATATATTTTGGAGATTAATCCCTTATCAGATGTATGGTTTGCAAATATCTTCTCCCAATTGTTAGGTTGTCTTTTTGTTTTGTTGATGGTTTCCTTTGCTGTGCAGAAGTTTGATGTAGTCCCATTTGTTTATTTTTTTTATTGTTTCTTTTGCCCAGTCAGACATGGTGCTTGAAAATATGTTGCTAAGACTGATGTCGAAGAGTGTACTGCCTATAAACAAAGACACTCTTATCAGGCAGGGCATTCCAAGGGCTTAGAGGTTTCCTCCTGGAAGCCAGGTGAGGTCACACCTTTCTTCGGAATGCGCAAATTCTGAACATCCCAGACCTGCAGAGTCAAGCCTTTACTGCATAATCTGTTTTCACTTGTCTGAGATGGATGCCTGGGGGTCCATCTGGGTCACATGGTACTTGCAAGTTTTTGTTGTTCTTGCTTTTGTTTGTGTATTTGGAAACCCTCACACTTTTCCAGAGTGGCCATACCATTTTACATTACCACAAGTGAGTGAACTCATTTCTCCCTGACCTCACTAGCATTTTGATACTGTTCCCAAATTTTGTTTAAGGCGTTCTGAAAGATGTGTCCCAATATCTCACTATGATTCTCATTTGCATTCCCAGGCAATGGCTCACATCTTTTCATGTGCTTATTTGCCATCCATCTGTATCTCAGGTGAAACACCTGTTCTGTGTCTTTTGTCTATTTTGTAATTGGATTTTTTTTAAAGATGATACTGCTGCATTTTGATTATTCTTTGCACATTGCAGTTGGAGGTGTGGTTTGCACAGGTTTCTTCCTCCTGGCGTCTGTCCTTGGTCATGTCATCCTCTTCAGATGGGTGTGTCACAGAGCCTAGGTTTTTAATTTTGACAACTTCAAATGTCTCCATTTCTTTTTATGGTTCACGCTTCTGCTGTCAAGTCGTAAAATCTCTTTGCTAGGCCCTACAGCCCAAATTTATCTCTTAGGATTTCCCCTCTAAAGTGTCTTCTAGTTTTATGTTTCATGTGGAAGTGTGTGATCCATTTTGAGTTCATGTCTGTATGGAGTGTGAGGTGTAAGTGTTTCAGTCAAGGGATTTTTGTTTGCTTGCTTGCTTGCCTGTGATGTTCAATTGCCCTGCTCCCATTTGATGGAGAGGCCATCTTTCCTCCCATGCACATTTGCCAAAATTCAGTTGGGCTTGGGCATATCTGTTTGGGTTTCTGTTCTGTTTTGTTGATGGTGTCTATTCATCTGCCACTATCACACAGTATCTAACAGATCTATGGATAATTGTTAAGTTGGAGTGACTTTATTCATGTTTTTCAAAATTGCTGTAGTGATTCTGGTTCCTTTGCCTGTCCACATATCTTTTTTTAAAAAAAGAAATAAGTATACTTATAAAAATATTTTTTTAAATGCCAAAGGATGTTCTACAACTTGTGTTTTTGTTACCACCCAAAGGGGGGTCTTCTGCCTGCTGCAAGACATGCCACTAGCCAAGAGGTAAGGAGGTAGGAAAGAAAAGACTTTTTATTACAGCTTGCTAGCAAGAGGGAAGACGGTCAACTAATGTCTGAAAGAACCATCTCCCAGAACAAAGACTACAGGCCAGTTATACAGAGGGCTGGTCTCTGGGTCGGGGAGACATCTGATCTTCAGGTGGGGGCATCCATCTGGTCTTAGTTCCTGATAGTCTTTTGTTTTACTGGATATGTATCAGAAACTGAAGCAACACCTTCTACCCTGATCTTTCAGTTGTCATTGATGATGGCTGTCAGCATAGACTCTCTGCCTGGGGCTCATCACATTCCTAAGGAACTCAAGAGAACTTATAGCAGCTGGGAGAGGCCATAAAGTCCAGAGTTAGTTAGAGGTCATTCAAAGTTACAATATGGTTTCTTTTCTACAACACGGCTTCACTTATGCCAACCTTGTGTTGAGCCGGTATTTTTATTTTATGGAACAGTGCAATATCAACATTTACCTCATTTCAAACACACACGTTCATAGTGTTGCATTGTACGGATGTATTGGAACTTGATTTGTGTAGTGAATGGTTATTAATTCTCCCCACCCAGTTTTTTTCATTATTATGGTAAGTACTGCTGAAATTGATACTCTTATCACCACATGTGTGTTTGCCCCAATGTTCTCCACACCCATATGCGGATCTTTGGATTTTGTTGCTGTATATGCAAAGATAGATTTTGTTTAAACTTTTATTTGGTCAAGTTTCTCAATCATTTCCTTTATGGCTTCTGAATTCTGTTTGTATGCTTTAGAAAACCTTATTCAAAATGATAGAATAAAAACAATTCATCTGTCATTCTATGAGTACTTGCATGGTTTCGATTTCACAGTCCCTGCCCAAAAAGTTCTTCTGGGAGCCTGGGAAATGCTCATGTCCCTCTGGGAAGCCTGAGCTGGCTCCCCCGCCTGCCTGCCAGGGTTTTGGGGGAGTTTTCCACTTTCATCTGTACCTTTCCTGGAAGCCACCCCCACAAAATCTTTCCAAGTACCCCTTCTGCTGCCAGAGTTTTGCTATGCCGGCTGGGACCCCCCAGGTGCATGCTCCCGGGCTGCGCCACATATCCTCTGCCTACCCAGGGCAGAGACACAATCCAAGGTGAGCCACAATGAGATGCGGTGTCTGGGCATCAAGCTGTACGCCCTTGCCGCCAGCACTCTGGATTCCCGCCCCAGACATTTGCACCAGTTGTTGGGCGCCATCTGGTGGCCACTTTATATCGTTTCTTCCCTCCAGAGCCTTGGCAAAATCTGCAAGGGATGGGATTTGGGTACCGTCTCAGAGGCAGAGGTCCAGGAGGCCAGCGACACTAGCAGGATCATCCCGGTTGTACATGAAGGAATGCGTGGGAGGGACTGTCGCCACATGCCTGAGCGGGGGTGTAGGGCCGCCTGATGAGTCGACCAGCACCTGCAGCTACTCCTTGGCCCGTGGGGACCAACCACCGCCACCGCAGGGGAACAGGAGAGCGTGTGCCTCGCCCAGACGCCATCCCACATGTGGCTCAGTTATCGCGACTTCCATATCACCCATTGTTGTTCCCTTCCTGCTCCAGAGGTGGGGACTGGCCCAGGCACTTCAGGGAGGCCCATGGAGGGCCATGATGGACTGGTCCAAGGGCGTGCATGGATCCCAATCAGATTTGATTTTTCTCACCAATTTTTTTGAGTACTGCTTTGAAGGTGGGGACCAGCCTGGGTCTTACAAGGTGGCCTGAATAGGGTGCCATGGGCCTGGCTATGGTCCCTGGTGGAGTCCAGTCATCAGAGACACCTCTGCAGGATATTTTTCCAAGTCCTAATCTGGAAACACAACAGACTGGCTCCTGCTTGTGTGGGCAAATGGAGGGGCTGCCCATGGGGGGTATACTGTAGCTCCTGTGTGTCCCTAACCTCCTCTGCCACCAAGCTCCTGGGGTTGACCAGACAGCCCTGGGAGATCTGGGGCTGGTGGTGATGGGGTAGTGCTGGGGGCCAGTGGCCAGACGGTGATCCATAGATAGGCCTCCTCATCAGGTTATTTTTTCACCCCAAATTGGCATTCTTTTGTCACCAGATAGGTGCTGACACTCTCCCATTTGGTGACTGTCCCTGAAGAGGCTGCGCCTCTGGATGTGCACGGGGCTCTGGCCTTGACCACAGCCCCATACCCTGCTGCTTGAGCTGCCCACCTGGGCCTGTGCACTGCCTTTTGTGCATTCCAGGCGTGGGGATCATGGTGCCGCCTCCAGTCCCCAGCACTTGAGAGCAGTGGGTTAGTGGGGGGGTTCTCTACTCCCTCTGCTCCCCGCTGCAGGCCCGAGTGTGGTAGAGAAAACTCCACGCCGCAGGCTCTGTGCTGTGTGTCAGGTGTCCTCCTCCTGGAGTTGTGGGCTGCTCTCTCCTCAGGAGGCTGGCTGGCGAGGCTGAAGGAGGCCCCTCTGGTTGCTCTCCTCCTCCTCTCTCAGTGCTTCTCGTACCAATGATAGAGTGACAGTGTGCTCTCCAGGGATGGGCCCAAGCTGCACCAGAGGAGGGTTGGATGTTCATGGTGAATGGGACTGCTCTTCTCTCTGTGCCCGTGGGCCTATTGTCTCTCTTCCCTGCTCGTTGGCGGTGAATGGGAGACAGGGGTGTGGAATCAGACCCACCTCTGTCTCCTGCCCTCTGCCTCAAGGAGTTGGCAGGGCTAGGGGCCTCTGATGTGGAGGACATGCTTACTCACTTCTTGGCTGTCTCTTGCTAGCAGCCCTCCCTGCAATGGCGATGGCCACATCGCCGCTGCACCGTGCACCTCCTTCACACATGAGCATGTCTTGCCTGGCCCTCTGTGGGACCGTGGAGGGCTCCAGGTTGTTCCTCAGGTGCTCAAGGCCGAGCAATGGCACCGTGTTCATTCCTAGTGACCCCTCAGATCACCACTATGGTACTGTGCCTGGGGGCGTGAGTTGGTGCTGGAGGCCCACCTGTTACTGTGTCTAACATTGTGACCATGGGTGATGGGAAATCAGGGTTCATTTCCCAAGAGGGAGCCTGAGAAATGGCTACCACATACCAGGAAGGCCGCAGGTGCACAAATTACTCCCAACTTGAGTAGGTAGTGACAAAAAATAATAAAGGACTCTTTTGAGGCCTTCTAATTGGATGAGTCCGCTTTATTTATTTATTTATTTTTTGGTGAGGAAGATTTGCCCTGAGCTAACATCTGTTGCCAATCTTCCTCTTTTTGCTTGAGAAAGATTGTTGCTGAGCTAACATCTATGCCAGTCTTCCTCTATCTTGTATGTGGGTCACTGAGGGATGCTGCCACAGCATGGCTTGATGAGCCATGTGTAGGTCCATGCCCGGGATCTGAACCTGGGAACCCTGCATGAACTGAACCACTACACCACTAGGCTGGCCCCAGGATGAGCCCACTTTAAATCCTTTCCGGAGGATCCATTGGAGGGCAAGTCTGGTGCCAGCAGCCTTGGTAATTCCAGCTCCAACAGCATATATTAAAGCTGCTGTTGTTATAAAACTCTAGTTGGATCTTGGGAGCAGTCAGGTGGTCTACTGCAAGGTGAACCACCACTCGTCCCCGCCCCTTGCCTCTCGCGCCCCCTCATGCTCTTAGCTGAGTGTCCTGAGGGGCCGGAGCATTTACTTTGAAAAAATTAAGAGTGTTCAAAGCAGACCCCAGCCACCTGGATACTGCAGCTAGGAATAATGGAATAGGAGCCCGGTTCTATTTTGCTGGTTTTCGGAACTGAGGCCATGATTAAGAGGGACAGCCGGGGGCATTCGTATTGCGCCGCTAGAGGTGAAATTCTTGGATTGGTGCAAGACGAACCAGAGCAAAAGCATTTGCCAAGAATGTTTTCATTAATCAAGAACAAAAATCAGAGGTTCGAAGATGATCAGATACCGTCATAGTTCCGACCATAAACGATGCCGACTGGCGATGCGGCGGCGTTATTCCCATGACCCACCCAGCAGCTTCTGGGAAACGAAAGTCTTTGGGTTCCTCGGGGAGTAAGGTTGCAAAGCTGAAACTTAAAGGAACTGACGGAAGGGCACCACCAGGAGTGGAGCCTGCGGCTTAATTTGACTCAACACGGGAAACCTCACCCGACCCGGACACGGACAGGATTCACATATTGACTCAACATGGGAAACCTCACTCAGCCCGGACAGGGACAGGATTCACATATTGATAGCTCTTTCTCTATTCTGTGGGTGGTGGTGCATGGCTGTTCTTAGTTGGTGGAGCGATTTGTCTGGTTAATTCCGATAACGAACGAGACTCTGGCATGCTAACTAGTTACGCGACCCCCGAGCGGTCGGCGTCCCCCAACTTCTTAGAGGGACAAGTGGCATTCAGCCACCCGAGACTGAGCAATAACAGGTCTGTGATGCCCTTAGATGTCCGGGGCTGCACGCAGGCTACACTGACTGGCTCAGCGTGTGCCTACCCTATGGTGGCAGGCGCGGATAACCCGTTGAAGCCCATTTGTGATGGGGATCAGGGATTGCAATTATTCCCCATGAACAAGGAATCCCCAGTAAGTGCGGATCATAAGCTTGCGTTGATTAAGTCCCTGCCCTTTGTACACATCACCCCTTGCCACTACCTATTGAATGGTTTAGTGAGCACCCCCCCCCCCCATCCATGGCGAGGGGCCTAGGCAGTGGGTTTGGGAAGAGATAGGGGTTTGGACAAGAGGCCATCCCTGCATTGGGTGGATGGGGGTGACATCAGGCTGGCGGTGAGTCTTAGGCTGTGCGACAGCGTCTGGCAGGTCCCCACACGGGGGTGGGGGGGCAGTGCAGAGGTTTGCATCTCCTGGGTGCCAGCGCAAGATGTGGTCCGCCTTGAGGCGGCAGCTGTGTGGCCTCCCCCTCCCTTGCCCCCGCACCATCCAGATACCTAGCGCATCCCAGCACCCAAGTTTAAAGACCCTTGGCAAGGTCTCGCCCTATCCGCCTCTGGTCTGGGTGGTCAGGCTGTGAGGAGTCTGGAGGCCTGGCCCTTCTCCCCCGTACTCCACCCTCGCAGGCCTGGGGCACACTGCGCCACGTTTCTGCTGCTGCGGGAGGGGGCTATCCATCCAGAGGGGTGCGTGCCTTCCGTGTCTTTGCAAGAGGTGGGATCCCCTGGGCCCCTGTGGGGTACTCGAGCACGCCCCTACGAGGGAGGTGCCGATGCCCTGTCGTCCAACTTTCCGACCTCTTGGAGTCTGGTCTCCTTTTTTCTTCGTGGCCCTGGAGGCAACCTCCCGCGACCTGCCGTACCGGAGATTTCTCCCTCTACCGGAACCCCCGCTAAGACGACTCATAGACTCTTTGGGGGTGGATCACTCTGTTGTTGATGAAGAGCGCAGCTAGCTTCCAGAATTAATGTGAATGGAAGGAAAACACTGGTCATTCACACCTCCAACGCACTTGCGACCCTGGATTCCTCCTAGTGCTAAGCCCGTCTGAGCTGCGCTTGGGGTGTGCCTCTCTGGGGTGTCCTGCCAGGGGTTTCCTCGCAGAGCCCCTTCTGCCACCGCCTGCCTGAAGGTGCACCCCACCACCCACCCTAGCGGCGGGTGGGTGGTTGGCTGGCTACTGGGCCCTCCAGCCCCTAAATGCATACACGGTGCTTTCCCCGGCGACGACGAACCTTTCACTCCGCCCCCAGCTTGACACTGATGTGTGGGAGGTTGGGGGCGGGGGGCAACGCCAAGGCGGGGACGCCGCGTGGGAAAGGAAGGGAAGAGAAGAGAGCTTGCGCCGAAGTCTGGCCACCCTGGTCCTTTTCGGAGCTGCCTCCCGCCACACGAAGTCTTGGGGTCGCTTGGATGGTCCGTGAGGCGCGGCTGGGCCCATGGTGGGGGGGCCACGTCCGGACTGCCGATGGTCGCCACCTGCCCCTGGCGGTGTTCTGGTGCCTGGCCGGCCTCTCCCCTGTCTGCTGGGCGCCAGGGGCCGAAACCACACTCTTGCTTGCCCTGCCTGGGCGGCTCACGCGGAGAGGAAGTCGAGCACGGGGTTGCCGGGGATGCGCGCCCCGGTGGTGATCCGCGGGCCGCTGAGGCGTAGTCTGCCTCTGCACGCTATCCCTCGGGGTGTGGTTGTGCGGCACTGTGTGCCCCGAGCCCGCAGGGGTCGGAAGCACCCGGTCCCTCACTAGGGAGGCCATGGGGCGTGTGGAGGACGTGTGGGAGAAGGAAGGTCGGGTGGAAGGCCGGCGGTGCGGAAGGGCAACCGCTGGCTCCCCCCGCCCTGGAGTCCCCCCTTTCCCCGCGCGCCCTGATGCCTCCAGGATGCGGCGGCGTCCTCCTCTCCCCACCCAGGCAGGGCCCCGCCTCTGCCGCCGGCTGGTGCCCCCACCCGCGCCTGTTCCCTTCCTCCCTTTTCGTCGGAAAAAGATGCCCTCCTCTCTTCAGCTGGACGAAGATGAGCATCCACCTTGTCCTCCCTTGCTGGGGTTCTCTGTGGTCTGTGTATCTCCTTCCCTCGCCCGCCTGGAGGGCTCTCCCTCCCAAATTGAGGAGCGATCTCACCTCAAGCTTGCCTTTCTTGCTCTGCGTCCTCTGAGACTGGACCTGAGATCAGAAGTGGCCACCTCTGAGTTTAATCCTATTAGCAGAGGAAAAGAAACTAACAAGGATTCCCTCAGTAGGGGAGTGAACAGGGAACGTTCCAGCGCCAAATCCCCGCCCTGTGGTGGGGCTCAGAAAATGTGCCATATGGAAGACTCACTCCCTGGAATGGCTTGTGGGGGCCCAAGTCTTGCTGATCAAGGCCCAGCCTGGTGGACAGTGTAGGTCTGGTAGTGGCCCCCAGCGCTCTGGGCCCAGGTCCTCCTGGAGTCAAATTGCTTGGGAATGCAGCCCAAAGTGGGTGGTAAACTCCATCTAAGGCTAAATACCAGGAGACCGATAGTCAACAAGTATGGTAAGGGGCGGTTGAAAAGAACTTTGAAGAGAGTTGAAGAGGGTGTGAAACCGTTGAGATAAATGGGTGGGGTTCATGCAGTCTGCCTAGAGAGCTCAACTCAAAGGTAGGTCGGGCTAGTCCCAGAGATCCGGTGGATCTTTCTCACCACCCCCGTTTCTCCTCACTCCTTCCCCTCCTTCCCTCCTCTCTGGAGGAAGGCTCCTGCGTGTGTGTGGGTGAGGGCGGTGGGAAGGTGGCCTGGGTCACCTGCGACCAGCTCTGGGAAGGCTGAGAAGGCAGGTGGGAAAGGTGGTTTGAGGGTTACGGTCCTCCAGCAGCAGTGCTTGCCAAATCCGGAGTGGGGGAACTCACCACTCCCAGCATCCAGCCCCATGAGGGCTCTCCTATGAGGGAGTCCCCCCCAGGGTGGCACACTGGTGCCAGTGGGGGCTGGGCCAGCGACAGCGCGACCACTCCCCCATCGCTGGCGACAGGCAAGCAGGGATAGGGTTGACTGGGGCAGACTGTCTCCAGTGTGCCTTGGACAGGTGGCGCCATCAGGCCCAGAACGTTTCCAGGCACCATGTCGTGACAAACACAGGGAAGGGAGCCCATGAGGTCAAAGCGATGCCGGCCACCCATCTCACCCGTCTTGAAACATAGACCAACGAGTCTAACACTGATCAAGTCAGGTGCTTGCCAGAAAGCCACCAAGGCACAATGAAGGTAAAGATGAAAGGTGGGATCCTGAGGCCTCTTCGGTCCACCAAGGGTACACTACTGGTCCATCTTGCCTACCACAACGGGAAGGTGAAGCATGAGTGCATGTGTTAGGACCTGAAAGATGGTGAACTATGCCTGGGCAGGGAGAAGCCAGGGGAAACTCTGGTGGAGATCCATAGTGGTCCTGATGTGGAAATTGGTTGTCTGACCTGGGTACAGGGACAAAAGACTAATCGAACCATCTAGCAGCTGGTTCTCTCCGAAGTTTCCCTCAGGATAGCTGGCGCTCTCGCACGTTTGAAGCCATGCGGATTTATCAGGTAAAGCGAATGATTAGAGGTCTTGGGGCAGAAACGATCTCAACCTATTCTCAAACTTTAAATGGGTAAGAAGCCCGGCTCGCTGGCGTGGAGCCGGGCGTGGAATGCGAGTGCCTAGTGGGCCACTTTTGGTAAGCAGAAGTCGCGCTGAATGATAAACCAATCTCTGGGTTAAGGTGTCCAATGCCAATGCTCATCAGACTCCAGAAAATGTGTTGGTTGAGATAGACAGCAGGATGTGGGCATGGAAATCAGAATCCACTAAGGAGTGTGTAACGACTCACCTGTGGAATCAACCAGCCCTGAAAATGGATGGCGCTGGAGCCTCGGGCCCATACCTGGTTTTTACTGGCCGTTAGTGATGCACACGTGAGAGACGGGAGTAGACGGGGGGTCAATTTCCTTTCCCTCCCTCAACCCCAACCCCGCGGATGCTACATCAGGATGAGTAGAGGGCCGCTGCGGTGAGCCTCGAAGCCTGGGGTTCAGGCCCGGGTGGAGCCGCCGCAGCTGCAGATCTTGGTGGTTGTAGCAAATATTCAAATGAGAACTTTGAAGGCCAAAGTAGAGAAGGGTTCCGTGTGAACAGTAATTGAACATGGGTCAGTGGGTCCTGAGAGATGGATGAGCCCCATTCCGAAGGGACACACGAAGGCCTCCGTTGCTCTCAGCCAATAGAAAGGGAGTCCGGTTCACATCCCCGTATACAGAGTGCAGAAGTGAGACGTCCAGTGGCAGCCCCATGGAGAGGTGTCTTTCCTTTGTGAAGGGCAAGGTGTCCTGGAGTGGGTTGTCCCTGAGAGAGGGCCCCGTGCCTTGGAAAGCATCGTGGTTCTGGTGGTGTCCTGTGACCTCTCACTGGCCCTTGAAAATCCAGGGGACAGGGTGTGAATCTTGTGCCAGGCATATCCACAGTAGGTCTCCAAGGTGAACACCTCTGGCATGTTGGTTGGCAAGCTGGATCTGTAACTTTGGGACAAGGATAGGCTTTAAGGGCTGGGTTGGCCGGGCTGAGTCATAAAGCAGGGCTGGGTCTGCGTTGGCATCGGCCCCATCCCAATGCCAGGGGTACCCCCACCTGGGCCCACACCTGCTCCCTCCTCTGGCCCTCCTCCCGTGGATTCCCACCCCCTACCCCCTTCCCTTCCCCGGGTTGGGGTGGGGGGGCAGGGCGATGGGACAGCAGGGCTCCTGCCAAGAGGAAGGTCCCTGCAGGGCCTGCAGGCCCACGGGGCCCGGGTACCTGTGGGGGCTGGTGGTGACGGCAACTCTGCATGCAAGCTGGACCCTTCCCGAGGATTGCCTCAGTGGTGGCAAGGCTGTGGCCACACCCTGGAGCCCAAAGGGTACCAGTACTCCCCACTGGGCGAGGGGGGGAGGGTTGGGCGGTGGGTGACAGGGTCCGCCCCATCTTGCCCTGCCATCTTCCCCCTCACCGTTGCTGCAGTCAGCATGCCTGTACCCCCCACCCAGGCTGGGTCCGCCCCCAGCAGTGGTTCTCCGCGGCGCCTCACCTCGCCGGTGCCTAGCA